CATATTCCCCAGCATCCCTTGTGTCATACTCCCCAGCATCCATAGTCTCATATTCCCCAGCATCCCTTGTGTCATATTCCCATCCATCCCTTGTGTCATATTCCCATCCATCCCTGGTGTCATATTCCCCAGCATCCCTTGTGTAATATTCCCATCCCTCCCTTGTGTCATATTCCCCAGCATCCCTTGTGTCATACTCCCCAGCATCCATAGTCTCATATTCCCCAGCATCCCTTGTGTCATATTCCCCAGCATCCCTAGTGTCATATTCCCCAGCATCCCTTGTGTCATATTCCCCACATCCCTTGTGTCATATTCCCAAGCATCCCTTGTGTCATATTCCCCAGCATCCCTTGTGTTATATTCCCAAGCATCCCTAGTTTCATATTCCCAAGCATCCCTTGTGTCATATTCCCTCACATCCCTTGTGTTATATTCCCAAGCATCCCTTGTGTCATATTCCCAGCATCCCTTGTGTTATATTCCCAAGCATCCCTTGTGTCATATTCCCCAGCATCCCTTGTGTTATATTCCCAAGCATCCCTAGTTTCATATTCCTCACATCCCTTGTGTCATATTCCCCAGCATCCCTTGTGTCATATTCCCAAGCATCCCTTGTGTCATATTCCCCAGCATCCCTTGTGTTATATTCCCAAGCATCCCTAGTTTCATATTCCTCACATCCCTTGTGTTATATTCCCCAGCATCCCTTGTGTTATATTCCCAAGCATCCCTTGTTTCATATTCCTCACATCCCTTGTGTCATATTCCCCAGCATCCCTTGTGTTATATTCCCAAGCATCCCTAGTTTCATGTTCCTCACATCCCTTGTGTCATATTCCCCAGCATCCCTTGTTTTATATTCCCAAGCATCCCTTGTGTCATATTCCCCAGCATCCCTTGTGTTATATTCCCAAGCATCCCTAGTTTCATATTCCTCACATCTCTTGTGACATATTTCCATGCATCCATTGTGCTATATTGCTGGAATATTGCTGAATGCGTCGTTGAACAACAAGAAACTACAAGGAAACAATCTTGAGCAATCATCTTCAAAGACACATTTCATCAACACTACAGAGGAAGTCATGAATCAACATGGTGTTAAATATTCACTTTTATTCAATAACATTGATGACATACTTTGCTGTTTATATTCATACAATATTTATGGTATTTATGTGTTGCAAGGAATAATCATATACATGGAGACGTGTAATGCTTCAAAGCAGCCATCAAACACCTCATTGTAGAAGTCAGTTTACATTCAAGACGTAGATATTTTCCACTTTCAATGACCTCTCAGATTGCACATTCTTATGAATAAGATCAAAAACAGAATATGATGAACTCTGACTTGAAGACTTCAGTCAACTTCCTTGCCAGTGATGTGAAGAAACCGAAAGTAGAAATATACTACTCAACTAATGAAAGGGGTATGTCAGTTTTAAATTCAGATACATTCCAGCCAGTTGAACTGATATGTCTTATACAGTGCCAGCAATATCTGTCCAGATGGTTTCACACTAAACAGAAAACATATAGACTCGCTGACTTGGCTGACACATGTCACTGTATCCCAATTGCGTAGATCGATGCTGTTGATCACTGGATTGTCTGGTCCAGACTCCATCATTTACAGACTGTCTTCATATAGCTGGAATATTGTTGAGTGCGGCTTTAAATAACAAACAAATAAAATAAAGCATTTTTACTCACTCTGGCAAGTGGAGGCATTTATGGCAAGATTCTGAGATTAATGAACATCTTGAAATCAAATGCCTTTCTCATACCATAAGTTTCTATCCTTCCCCTTATAAACAAAACCTGGGCAGTGGGGTAGCCTAGTGGTTACAGTGTTCGCTCGTCACGTCCAAGACCCGGGTTCGATTCCCAAAATGGGTACAATGTGTGGAGCCCATTTCTGGTGTGCCTGGCCGTGATATTGCTGGAATATTGCTAAAAGTGGCGTAAAACCCAACTGACTCACACACTATAAACAAAATCTAATTGTTTTTAAATCATCCAGTCAAGTGTGTGAGATATAACAAATTGCCAGGCAGCTATTAGGACTCACAGGCTTTAGAAGCCACAGGCCCTGACCAAATCCTCAGTTAAAAACCTGCAGCTTATCAGGACAAATACATCGATGCACAGCATATACCTGCACATTTAGATGTTGTACAACTAGTATATGGAATTGGCACTATGATATATCGTCCAAATAATTTGTACTATCTGCAAGAAGAGATGTTGTTAGACAAATAGTACATAGTATTCACTATTTATTCTATGAGATGTTGTCATACAAATAGCATACCATATCTTTGATGATATTGTACAACTAGTATATGGAATTGGCACTATGAGATGATGTGAGTGAGTGAGTTTGTTTAATGCTGCTTTTAGCAATATTCCAGCAATATCACGGCAGGGGACACCAGAAATGGGCTTCACACATTGTACCCATGTGGGGAATCAAACCTGGGTCTTCGGTGTGACGAGTGAACGCTTTAACCACTAGGCTACCCCACCACCCACTGAGATAATGTCGTCCAAATAGTTTTAAGTATAATCTGCAGTAAGAGAAGTTGTTATACAAACAGTACCGGTACACAATATTCACTGTTTGCACTATGAGGTGTTGTCGTTCAAAGAGTACATAGCATTTGAAATGACATATTTTCAACTTCATTCTGCCAAGACAAAATAAAAACAAGCACATTCAAAAGTTGCCCTCGTATCAAACATCACATCCCTATCAAGAGTTGAGTAGAATATCTGATTTCTAAAACAATTAATTTCTCATTCAATTTGGCAAAAGGAATAAAACAAAAACACATAAAGGAAGAGCGTAACACAGTCATTCTTTGCGACTCTCGCAGGATAATATTTTCTGTAAAACAATTGTAATATACTAAATGCAAACATTGTTCAACATAAACCACAAAGCTGATGATCCAAGATAATATTGTGAGTCCCGCTCTGTAAACATGAGCTGGCGAACAGGCAGGCAATATTTTCTTTCAAGGTTATAAAAAAATCCCAAGTTATAACAGATATACTGAGAGAAAGAAATAAAGGATCACAGGAAAATTCAAGCGTTCCTTTATTATTTTCCAGTTTTCATCATTACTGCGCTATTCAAAGCGGGGGATGAGAACTGGAAAATAATACAGGAACACTTGAATTTTCCTGTGATCCTTTATTTCTTTCTCTCAGTATATATTTATTTAATGCTGACTCAACAAGATGGTGGCTGGTAAATAATCAAGTCTGTCCTTGATATTATGAGCAATCTCATTTAAAATCACATCGTACTTCTAGCTACTGCTGATAAAAGATTTGAGAACATCCTATTACGGGTGCCGTGACAGCGACTCCTCTTCTGACCAACGGGAGCGTCAATTACAAGATCAGAAATTTACATTACGCAGCATTGAAAACATTAACATGGGGAATTCCGAGGAACACTTAATGTCTGTGCGACTGATTCATCGTGGTTTCAATGAGATAAACATTTAAACGGAAATGACCTTTCACAGCCTGCGGTACTCCAGCCAAACAATTTTGGCCATCTATTAGACATTTTGAAAATGTTCTGTTTTGAAATTTTGAATAAAGAATTTTGTCAAAATATTCTTCAAAGGAATAGAATGGATTAGGGCTGGGACGGGTCCACATTTTCTACCCGGGTACCCCATCCCTTACTACCCTACCCTACCCTACCCGGATACCCGTTATGTTAATTCCTGACATCAAATTTGTAAAAAAGGGCAATAGATTTTTCTGCTCAGAGACTAAAAGTTCAAGTTTTTCAATATCTTAACCATGTATTATATTCAAAAGAAGTGACTGTAATTATGTCTAAATCTTCAAAGACAATACAGCCTTTTAATCATGAAAGAATAACATATTACATTGTTTAATCTATTAGTGACATGATCATAACGGGTCCGGGTACTGAGACGGGTACCCGGGTCCAACTTATTACCCACCCGTCCCGGGTATACGAATTACCCGTCCCAGCCCTAGAATGGATGCTGCCATTACTTGAGAAAAGTGTTTCTGATTAGCTAATGGAGTCATTTCATTGGTTGGTTTAAGTTCTCAGCATCACCTGAAATGGGACGTCCTTAGATGTTTGTTTAGCTGTAGCTAGGATGAAGAACAGACTTTGGGGAGATTGATATTCAACCATCCATGATCACAGGGAACGCTGACATGCTATTAACCAAATGGGGTCAAAGGGAGATAACTACATTGTGATAATTTCTACAAGACCACTACAAATATTTTCTTGTTTCTCATGTTTTATTCCTTTTTTAATTTAAAAGCAAATTCTTTGCCAGTTCACTGTAAAAGAATTGAGTGAGTGAGGAAGTTTAGTTTTACGCCGCACTCAGCAATATTTCAGCTATATGGTCTGTAAATAATTGAGTCTAGACCAGACAATCCAGGGATCAACAGCATGAACATCAATCTATGCAACTGGGATACAATGACATGTGTCAACCCAGTCAGCAAGCCTGACCATCCGATCCTGTTAGTCGCCTCTTACGACAAGCATGGGTTACTGAAGATCAATTCTAACCCGGATCTTAACAGGTCACTGTAAAAGAAAACTGATGTATTAAAGCATGAGAAATTCTTTGATGACTCATCATATTTATGTGTTTCAGGGTAGGTGGGATAGCCTAGTGGTTAAAGCGTTAGCCCGTCACACTGAAATCTCGGTTTTGATTCCCCACATGGGTACAATGTGTGAAGCCCATTTCTTGTGTCCCCAGCCGTGATATTGCTGGAATATTGCTACAAGTGGTGTAAAACTAAACTCACTCACTATGTGTTTCATGTCAATGTTGTTTAGTTACTACTAAATTTCGGAAAACTTAATTTTGAAAAAGGAATTGATGAACAGTGCTCATTTAATATTAGGAGCATGGGAAATATTAAAGGAGGGCAGGTATTGAGATACAAGCAATTGATTTTAATACACTTAATGTAAAATCTTTTCTTTTGTTGGTTTATGAAAATGAAGAAAATGAAAGATTGAGCTAAAAATTAAGATGAAACAGAAAACAGTTTTAGCAACATGATTTTGATTTTAAAAGAGCCAAATAGTTTGCCCCAAGAAAAATGTTATCTTCCCCTTTTGACAGAATGATATCACAATGTCTTCATACACACAAACATGATGCCAGACCTTTTTAAAAGATTGGTTTACAATCTGAACATAAATATGACTTCAAAAAAACTTTTTTTTATTTGAAAAAAATGTTAGGATGGTAAGAAGAAAAGTTTATAACATGAATTTTAAACAGGTTTAAATTTGATATTAAATTTGATATTTATTTATTTTTAGTATAATAAACATTTAATAAAATTAGTAATGCATACATGACTATACTTGATATACTTCTACTCGTTTCAGGTTGGCAGAATAAAAAACTCAATCTTTTAATTTTGTCACATTTCCATTTTTGGAAGTTGGCGAATTTGTAAACCAATCTTAAAAAACCCATCTGGTCTTAATTTGAAAAAACCCCACCATTTGATAAGAATTCAGTTTCATTAATTCTCTACCTATATCAAAACAAGACTTCCATTTCATTGAACAGAATAAAACTGAATAAATTATAAATCAATAAGAGCAATCTGAAGATCATAACAGCATGTTTTCATTCAACTTGTGTGGATATTTGCTGTGACTAGCGACAGTTCCAGTTAATGTTCATCAAGACTTCGACTGACCATTCTCAAGCAAAAATCGGTCATTGAAGACCTTCAACGGCTTTATCTGTCCATCTTCTAAAAAATAGAGGTCATTGTTTGACCTCCTCATGTAGGCAGCCGCTTTACCGAACACACTATAGGTTAACACAAGCACATCGCACATGCTCAAGAAGTACTGATCAGCTAGTACCTTCTCGAAGCCAACACAAGGGTCAACTTTTATTCTTTTTGTTTTATCGATATGAATGATATCCCCCTCTATTTCAACATTCTGTAAAGGAAAGAGTTCCATAGCTTTTGAGCGAACATTGTCAGAGTCGCTTGCGACAAATATTCTATAGCGATGATGATCGTTATATTTCTTGAAGAAGTCCCACACCACGGAGACGGACTCCATAGTATTCCTCACTTCCGAGTCCCATGGTAGCGTGGGATTCTTACCGAATCGTAAATGAGCACAAACAAGCTTGAAGTTCTGCGTAGGCTTTGCTTTGGCCAACGCTGTTGTCAATCGTCTCTTCACCCGCCTATTGAGCTTGAAGATATTCTGCCACAAATCGGCAAACACGATTGGTCGTGGCTTGGTTTTCAGTTTTTGACGAAATATCGTCTTGTAGTAAGGATTATTTTTCAAGGCGTAGAAATAGTCATAGTTAGTTGTAAGGTATACAACATCTTGTGGATACACAGCATCAAAGTCGATCTGACCGATCAGCTGTCGAAAGACTTTATCGTTAACTGTGTATAAATATTTGGTTGAAAGACCTTGAAGTAGCGTTGAATTTATTTTCCAGTTCAATTTCCTAGGGTGGAATAAATTGGATAACAAACATGGAGATGACATATCCACTCCAAATGTTCGGTTTGTAACTAAAGATATAACATACGCTGATAATATCCCATGCTGCCGATCTCCCCATCCGCAACACGTGATATTTTTTCGGCAATAATAAATTATATATTTCTCACGATTGGAGTTTGTTCTGTGCACACTTGTATTTTGGAAATGATTGAGTAGAATCCTATCACGATTGCTAGGGATGAGAGCGTTAAGCTGTAGGTGTCGCGATATGTTTTTCAGTTCGACGCACGCGTGTTGGGGGATTTGTTCGCTGCTGGAGTTGGCTACTTCTATCTCGATGTCGTTCAGTATCACAGGAGCGTGGACTGGTACGTTGATGTTCTGAGAGAGGGCTTCTTTTTCAGGTTTAGGAAAGACTTCGAGTTGCACTAGCGGCACCTTGAGTGTGAGGTCGTCCAGGAAGTAGAGGCTGATGATGACGGTGACGATGCAGAGACACAGTGATATTGCCAGTCCATATTTAGGTTTCATCTGGAACAAGAGATACAAGAATTGTTCAGGGTAATCATCGGGGTGATCGGGGTAACATTTGTTAATCGGGGAGAAAGTCTGAATATCTGAGAGAATCAGTAACATATTATATGCAGGGGTGATCGGAGGTAACATGATAATCAAAGTTAATCGGAGGTAATATATGATAATCAGGGGATAACATTTGATAATCAGGGTTAACATTTGATAATCAGGGTTAACTGGAGGTTATATATGATAATCAGGGGTAATATTTGATAATTGGGGCAAACATTTGATAATCAGGGTTAACTGGAGGTTATATATGATAATCAGGGGTAATATTTGATAATTGGGGCAAACATTCAGCAATATTCCAGCTACATGGGCGGTCTAAATAATCAGTCAGGTAGTGATCAACAGCATGAGCATCGATCTGCACAGGTAACCAAATCAGCTTAGCCTGACCACCCAATCCTGTTAGTCACCTCTTACGACAAGCATGGGTTACTGAAGATCAATATTCTAACCCGGACCGGGTCTATTGGGGGTAACATGTGGTAAACAGGAACATGTGTGTGGTATGTGGTATGTGTGATATGTGGTATGTGGGGGGTTGGGGGTGCGTGTGGGCACGAGTGTGGGTGGGTGAGTGAGTGAGTTAAATGTCCATTAGAAGAGTATTTGGTTACATCAAAGTCAGTCTGCTTAACAGGGGAGGCTGAAGCCTGAGTTGACAGGCGTAAGATGATTTCAACTTTGGTGAAAGAAAATTTAGATGAAGACAGTGGACATCAAATCCAGCTTTTAGAGGTGATGGAGTTATGTTCACTGATGCCAAACAGATTGCAATTTGAAACCTGAAGCAGCATGATAACATCATTCTGAACAATTCTTTCAAACCAGTTACTTGGTGGCAATTTTCTACAACAAAAACAATATTGATCCTGCATTCAGTAAAATTCAATCTTGTTTTTCTGTTTCAATTTTCAAGTTCAAGATTAGAATTAAATTAAAAATCCAGAAGGTGGTCATTGAAAGGTGACGACTGAGCCAATTGTTAATTGTTTCATGGGCATTCTAGAAGTTGGTGAGTCAATAATGATGCATACAACTGGATGACAACTAATTGTTATAATTGCATAGAACAACGTTTTGGTGTAGATTCTTACACCGTTATCAAAGTTAAAAGCTATGTCTGTCTGGATTTTGGGAAACATTTTGAAATGTCTGTGAGTCTGTATTCAATATTCAGTGAATGAAGTGTTTCAATCCAATAACCATTTAAATACACACTTTATTAGATTTTCCATTTCATAAAGTGAATAATATATCTGCACTAGTGTGTGCGCCGACCCCTAAACATGCCACCACGCAAGATCAACATGTAAAGTCAAGATCTAGACATCCATTTTCTAGCCTTCCAGCATGTCAATATTTCACCTTCCAGCATGTCAAAATTTCACCTTCCAGCATGTCAATATTTCACCTTCCAGCATGTCAATATTTCACCTTCCAGCATGTCAATATTTCACCTTCCAGCATGTCAAAATTTTGCCTTCCAGCATGTCAACATTTCCCCTTCCAGCATGTCAATATTTCCCAGCATGTCAAAATTTTGCCTTCCAGCATGCCAATTTTTCACCTTCCAGCATGTCAATATTTCACCTTCCAGCATGTCAATGCATAACCTTTCAGCATGTCAATTCATAGACCTTCCAGCATGTCAATATTTCACCTCTCAGCATGTCAATTATTAGCCCTCCAGCATGTCAATTTTACCCCTCTAACACTTCACTTCTTGACCGTTAAACATGTCAAATCTTAGCCTTCTAGCACATCAAAAGGCCATTTTCTAGACCTTGAGCATGCCATCTTTTCTAAACTATTTTTCAAACAATTTTGTGCAACATTTTATTTTGAAAAATCCTCACCCAAAATATCCAGTGGCAGCTTCATTTTTTCCCTGTATAGGACACACCGGAGAGAATACGGTAGAAAACATTCTAATAACTGTATTCAGATTCTGACGGCCCACAAATACTGGGAGTGATTCAAGGACTTTGTGATTGTGTGGTGGGCATGTGTTTGCACACAGCCGATATTCCATGTTTGTTTAACTCTGTTGGATGATTGGACATTGATCAGCGGGATATTGCACCGAGTTTAATCAAAGACAGAAATGTGGGAAATATTCTCAGTAATATAATCGGAATAATCCATGAAAACAAATCAAATCAGATTTACTCATACGCTGCCGTGAATTTCTTTTGAAAAGTGGAAATCATGGCAGGCATGGAAATCGAGTAATTAAGTGTAGAAATTCAAAATTGCATCCATTGAATGTGTGACCTGCACCACATTTTAAGGCTACACTTTTCTATTTCTTCATTATCGACCCCAAAACCATAAAAGTTGAAAAGAATGCCAGCATAGACCTGATGGGCTTTGCTGGTTGTAAGATTGCTTGTTTGTTGTTTAACGCCGACTCAGCAATATTCCAGCTATATGCTGCGGTCGCTTATAATAATCAAGTCTGGACCAGACAATCCAGTGATCAACAGCATGAGCATCAATCTACGCAGGTGGGATACGATGACATGTGTCAACCAAGTCATCGAGCCTGACCACCCGATCCCGTTAGTCGTCTCTTACGACAAGAATGGGTTGGTGAAGACCAGTTCTAACCCGGATCTTCATGGGTAGCTGTGGTCGTAAGAGGCGACAACAACGGGCCAGATGGTTGAGTTAGGTGATTGCATGTCATCGTGACCCAGTGATCTGTTCGCTTCTCATTCTTTGAATCACTGGTTTACCTTGTCCAAATCTATTCACTGTTTTTTTGTACAACTATAAAATTCTTAGCCACAGCGTTTAAAACATTCGTTCATTCTTGTCACTATCAAAAATTGAGTAATGGGTTTGATGGGAGGAATAGGTTCCCCAAACCCCATGCTGGTCGTTGGAGCAGACGACAATTGATAGTCAACCAGCAGTTAACAGACAGAGCAGCAGTCTGTGCTCAAATTACGCTGCAATCACTGGATCTCAATTATTCAAGAAACATGAGGCTCTGGGGACAAGAGATACAAAAATCATTCAATCATCAGGGGAACTCTGGAGGTCATGTTTGTTAATTGAGAGAATCAGTAAAATCTTAAAGGCAGGGGTGATCGGACGTAACATAATAATCGGGGTTAATATTTGATAATGGGGGTAATTGGTAATACATGATACTCAGGGTAATATTTGATAAATGGGGTAATTGGAGTAATATATGCTAATCAGGGGTCACATGATAATCAGGGTAATATTCGATAATGGGGTAATATATAATAATGTGCCATGTGATAATCAGGGTAATATTTGATAATGAGGTAATATATGATAATTAGGGTAATATTTGAAAATTGGTGTAATTGGAGGTAATATATGATGATCAGGGTAATATTTGATAATCAGGTGTACTTGGAGGTAACCCATGCTTGTTGTTCGAGCAGATGACAATTGACAGTCAAGCAGCAGTTAACAGACAAATCAGCAATCTGTGCTGGAATTATGCTGATGGCTTGATCTCCATGCTTCAAGAAACATGAGGCACCGGGGACGAGATCCTCCCCACAGTCTTTCACAATAAATGGCGGCGATCTTTCCTGAATCACTGTTAGTATTTTGTTATCATCTTCTACCCGGACACCTAAGCCTGTTTATAGAATCACCTACATACAATACAGTGAGTGAGTTTAGTTTCACGCCGCACTCAGCAATATTCCAGCTATATGGTAGCGGTCTGTAAATAATCAAGTCTGGACCAGACAATCCAGTGATCAACAGCATGAGCAGCGATCTGCGCAATTGGGAACCGAGGGCATGTGTCAACCAAGTCAGCGAGCCTGACCGCCCCGCCGCTGACGACCAATTCTAACTCAGATTTTCCGAAGAAAATACAATACAGCAACACGATTCAAGTCACTTGATGTTATCGCTTTCGTTTATTCTGGAGTCAGGCGGAGCTATAGCCCTATGATACTGGTGTTCATGGAAATGTATTTCTTCTGAGGTGAGGTGAAATTGGGTTTTAACGTCGTGCTGGAGAATATTTCGCTCATATGACGACGTGCATGCGTGTGTATGTGTATGAAGTTGGTTTTATAGCGCTAGCCCACTGAGATACCATGCCGCAGTGAAGCATCAATACCCCACTCAGACACATTATACTGACTCCGAGCCGACCAGTCCTTGTTGTACCCATTAATGCCGAGTGCCAGGCAGGGACCAACAAGTACCATATTTTAACGTCTTTTGGTATGACGCGTTTGGGGATCGAACCCGCGACCTTCCGCTCTCCGGGCAGACGCTCTAACCACTACACCACGGAGGCGGCCGTATTTTTTGTGATATTTTGGTGTAGCATTCATACAAATTAATTATGTAATATACTAAGAAAATACTGTTCAAAATTATATTTAGCAGGATTCCACCTGTATGACTACAGTCTGTATATAATTGAGTCTGGACCAGTCGATCCAGTGATCGATATTGTGAGCAATCACCAAGCATGAGTGTCAGGGTACGAGGACACATGGGTGTCGGCGTACGAGGACACATGGGTGTCAGGGTACAAGGACACATGGGTGTCAGGGTACGAGGGCACATGGGTGTCGGGGTACAAGGACACATGGGTGTCAGGGTACGAGGACACATGGGTGTCGGTAATGTCGGCGAGTGTGTCGTGTGTAATGCGAGGACACGGTGTCGGGCACGAGGACACATGAGCGTCGGGGTACGAAGACACATGGGCGTCGGGGTACGAGGACACATGGGTGTTGGGGTACGAGGACACATGGGTGTTGGGGTACGAGGACACATGGGTGTCAGGGTACAAAGACATGAGTGTCGGGGTACGAGGACACATGCGTGTCGGGGTACGAGGAAATGCAATCAATCAAGTCACTAAACCTGACAATCTGATCTATTTAGTTGTCCTGACAAGGTGCACTTGTACTGAAAAGCCACAAGTT